CACTCTTGTGGGACACTCTTGTGGGACACTCTTGTAGGACACTCTTGAGGGATACTCTTTCTTGTAGGATACTCTTGTGGGACACTCTTGTAGGACACTCTTGTGGGACACTCCTGTAGGGCACACTCTTTGTACGAGACTTCCTCCAAAAGTCACGCTGTGAGGCTGCAAGACGAGCGTTTCGTACGAGACTTCCTCCAAAAGTCACGCGTCAAGCTTCAAAAACGAGCGTTTCGTACGAGACTTCCTCCAAAAGTCACACGTCAAGTTTCCAAAACGAGCGTTTCGTACGAGACTTCCTCCAAAAGTCACACGTCAAGTCTCCAAAACGAGCGTTTCGTACGAGACTTCCTCCAAAACTCACGTGGTTCGTGTTTGCAAAACGAGGATTTCGTACGAGACTTCCTCCAAAAGTCCAGCGGCAACACCCATCGGAGCACACACATCACGCAGCCCTGCCAAGCAGTTTCGCGAGTCCAGCCCCTCCAAACAACACCCGTTCACACGCCAATCCCAATGTGACAGCGACATTCACCTCTACCACCCCCTCACGATTCCCTGCGGCTGCCACGAATCTTTCCGCATCCACACGTCTAACGCGCACAAAGTACTGCGCCTGCCACGACAGGTCACCTCCGTCACACCTCGCAACCTCACGATTTCCTGCGCCTACCACAAGAATCGCACTTCCACACATCAAAAGCCGTGCAAAGGACTGCGCCATATCATCTCATGTGAGCTTCAACAAAATTTGCACCACACCACACGTTTGGAATGATTTCGACCCGTTCTGAGCATACTCCCATCCACCAAAATCGGCATTTCAGCTGAGACTTGTCACAAAAACAGAGCTTCGACGCCACACCCGAAAACGCAAATCCCAATGGCACGGCCACATCCAACACCCCAAAAACACGACTCTCCAAACGCTAATCCCAATGGAACTGCGCAGCAATCTGCAGATCTCACTTGCGCGACATATCTTTTTCATGCAAATCACAATGGAATAGCGGCGCAAACTGACACGTGACACATCCATGAATAGTCACTTGCAAAAGCTTCCCCCAATGGCAGCGCCTTAGCGCTCTACCGCGAACGGTTGCGGACGGTTGCGGGCGTAGAAACAACGGATCGCGAACAAGGCTCTACCCCCAGACCCCCAAGAGTTAAACGAGAACCCTTCGCTACGCATTCGGGAAAAGAGCGTTTGTCCTGAGACATAAAGGTCCAATTATCTGCATATGTGAAGGGGGTGATCCGTATGTTAGACATCCGTTTAAAGAACGTAGCAGCAATAGCCAGCATGGCACAAACGGACATGGAGTCACCTTCAGGCGCCCCTGTGGCGAGGGAACTGGCTGAGCTACCAAAACTGGACGCTTCAATTTCAGCGTGCATGTTGTTCTTGCTACGAGATGCCCTCCCATGATCCTCATGGCTAGCTGTTTTGTTCCTACACGGTTGGTCCCCTGCGCTCCAAGAAGATCCTGCATGGAAGCAAAGCCACTTGTAACGGAAATCGTTGTCCGAGCTGTTGCTTTCTTCGGCAGTAACTAAACTTGTACACGACCAACACGTGTCTTTAAAGTACTCAACTCAACTCCAGGAAATATCGCTGGATAGTTGAGCCGCAGATGATAGATTTACCTGATAGCTGATAGCTGATACCACTTGTGCGACGGCTACCAAGTGCAAATCGCAACAACACAACCGAGTATATATATATATATTATATATATATTATACAGAACACGTATCTAGAGATCGCACTTTTCAGAAGACAAGGAAACAATAAAATTATAAATTTGTTTTTGCATGTTTTTTTTCGCTACTATTGCGTTTTCGCATATGTTCGTGTATTTTCGTGTTTGCCCAGTTTCGGGAAAACCCAAGACCAACCAACCGTTTCTTACATGTTCACTTTTTTGCAGAAGTAATTACGCCCCACCGCTATGGCAATTTTCGCATTTTCGCGTTCGACTCCGAAAAATCTAGACGCATCCAGACACGCATTCCGCATGCACAGCTATTGATTTGGCCCAACTTTTTCATGCAATCCTACCCGCCTTTTTTGGCAGTTCTTCAAGCACGGCCATTTTTGGGACCCAGAATATCTTCCTCGTTCGCTTCTTCACCACCTTTAGTTCACCAACGTATGCTCCTGCCAATTTACTTTCCCGTTCTTTTCAAATCCGGACTGCTCAAAACCTTTTGCTCACACTGTCTCATTGTTGGCTCATGCCTTCGGCAGTTTTGGGGCATTGGCCAAATAGTTGGACGTGCACAGTTGTCAATTATGTTTGACAATATAAATAAATGACGATATAGATTTGGATGTTTCGAAACGATTGGCTAGCTCTCACGTGCTCTCATAAGGTAAGATTGGTCAGGACCCTGTTCTTTTTTGCATTTCCTTGTCAAATGCTTCTTTCCAGCAGCTCCATCCTGTGGAGGCACTAAATACTCTTCGGATCGTTTCAAAAATGTTTGCAGTATGTGGGGGCGTTTGTTTTGCAGTATGTTGTTCTCCTTTGTCTGCCTCCGCAGTAAGAGGGTGGGTTGGATCACTACGGAGATGTACTTTTTATATAACGTCGCTTGAACCAGTGATCAGGTCATCACTGCCTTTTGCCTGATATGCTGGCTCACCGCTGCCAAGCCGCTGCAGCCTGAAGAACACACAAGACACGCCTCTCCAGATCTCGTGATGTTGAAATCTATGTGTGTGTGTATGTATGTATGTCAATCGGCCCGTATTTAAAAAATGAGTCGTTGCAGTGATTTCGATCGATGCTAGCGCATCTCGGCTCACAGCGGAGGGCTGATGGGCCACGACCCGGGACGGTGCGGCTGCAACTGTTGCCGTGTCTTGTCCAAGGTTTGGGATATCCTCTTCGCACCGATTCTGGGCTCTACATACATCTCCTTGTTGGAGGCCTCCCATTATCTTCATGAAGGAGGTGGTGATGTTAGACTGTTAGCACTCCTGGGGGCTTAGGAGTGGCTGGTGCGGCTGCTGGTGGGCAGAGGCAGCGCCCGAAGGCTGCATCAGGCGCGGCGTCCAAGAGACAGAGCCGTGCCAGTGGAGCTCCAGCGGAAAAGAACAAGGATCGTGATCGACATCACCGCCGTCGTCGAGCTGAGGAGTATATACCCCGCTCTCCGAAGAAGCAAGAGGACCTGAGACCCTTTGCCACGCGGTCCGGGGAAAGTTCCAGGAGCGAAAGTCCGGCCGAGGCAACAAGGGAGTAGTTGAGCCTGGGCGCAAGAAGCACCCTGGGCCATTCGCAAAAGAGCCCGCAAGACCACAGAGAGGGGGCGAAACAAAAAGCGTCCTCGTCCGGGAGCGAGGAATCGAGCAGCAGCAGCACCCTTCAGCTCGGCTGTCCAGCGCGCCGCCCCTGATGGCACAATATGCCAGGCAATGTCTGACCACGGCCCATTTTACTCGACCTATTTTTGGCCGGGAAGATTGCAAGCGCAGAGCAGACCTAGCCTGCCAACGAATGAAGACTCTCGAAGCGGTCGGACGTGGAGTTCGCGATGTTTTGCGGTTAGTCCCGCCCCATCGAGAGAGATCTGGCACGCCGGGTGGTATGAGAACGAGGAGTACAAGGTCTTCCACCGCGCGGCGGGGAAGGATGGAGAGAAGGGAAAGTTCAAGAACAACGACAAAGACAGGGACAAAGGAGGTCGAGGAAAAGACAAAGGCAAGGGTAAGAAGGAGAAGAAAGAGGAGCCGAAGAAGTAGTGGCTGCAACGCAAGAAGGAGCACAAACGGGAGTTCTCCGATAGTGGTAGGGAGAGCTTCCTGGTACATACAGAGTGAGGCTGTATCGCCAGATGAGGACTTGAGGCGACAGTCTTGGGACGAAGACACTGGAGAGCGAAATTCGCCAGATGGCTGAACAGGACCTCGTGCTGGGACTGAATGCTGATTTTTGGAAGCCTCCTGCAAAAGGGCAATCGACTCGTGAAATCCGACATATTCTGAGTCAGGCCTGGTCCACATTTGTCTGGTCTCAGATTAGTCACCGCAAAGGAGTCATTGATGTCCCCTTTGATGCTTACATCCAACACAAGACTCTGAGAAGTCTCTCTCCGACTTCCCTGCGCCTCATCGCACTCGATCTCACGGGAGGTTTTCAAACAGGAGCCATTAAGCATAAGTGGGATAGTACACGAGAACTTGCGCGCCCATTCTGCGGCCAAGATGATACGCACGCACATCGTTTGCTACATTGCCCGAATTTTCTGCATGTTCGCAATAACCACCAAGAAGCCATTGCAGCTTGGCATGCCCATCACAATCTTTTATGGTTCCCGCTTGCGACAACACACTCTCAGCAGATCGTGTATAACCGTTTCAAGCTGCATCGGGCGGGGCCTTTTCTGGATCACCCTCCACTGGTTGACTGTTCAGTTCACACTTCCGTCTATACACTGATGGCTCGTGTGATCGTCCAAAGGACTTAAATTGCTGCCGTGCATCTTGGGCTGTTGTACAACATGTGTCTACAACACCAGAGGATCCTTCTGTGGATGATTTTGTTGTCATTCAAGGTTCGCATGTGTCAGGCACACAATCAACTAACCGGGGCGAGCTGGGAGCCATTGAATGGGTGTCCGAATACTTCTCTAGCTGTTCATTTCGTCCTCTTTTCAGGCCATGGACTTCCGCTGTGGATCTTTGACCCTAAGGAAAAGATACTCAAACCATACGCATTTGATTCACCGGAAGCCTTGATTCAGCCAAAATCCGCCCGCGCTTTGTGCCATCAGGCCTCTACTTTGCGGGGCATCATTAGATATCTTGAAGGTACAAGGCAATGTCATTTGTTTCCACGCTACAAGAAAACTTGCGCTTCGTCTCTAGTTCGCATGGGCTTCCATCGAACCTTGGCTGGGGGTATGGCTGCTCGACCCGCCATGCCTAATTCAGCTGTTGCTATTAAACTTCTTCCTGAATATTCAGCCCTTCCTGAGCAACCCTATCCCATGAATGTTCGACTGCCTTTCCCGGTATGCAGTGACTACGCTTCCGCTTTTCCAGAGATTCCAAATAAACCGGCACTTCATGTTCGAAGAAACGTATACCAGAAAGTCCGCAAATTCATTAGACTTAAGAAGTCGCTTGACGAATTGGCTCTTGATTGAATGCATCTCGCCGCTAATTCACTTTTTACTCATGACCTGCGCTCCATCCTGGTTCATTGAGTCGTGGTCTGCGCGTTTTCTTTTCACACAGTTTTTGTGCTATAGTCATACCCTCCTGTACCCCACATAGTGGAAGGGCCGAGAGGGGCGGATCGGGGACCGCGAGATGTGTGTGGGGAGGTTGAAGATTTTTCAAAGTGCAATACTATGCGGCGGCTTTTGTGAAGAAGGACAATGAGATTCGCTCCACCTTGGCCATGGATGAGCGAGCTATGCGAAACAGCGTCTTTCCCTTGGCCAGCATGCCGTCTATGGAGTGGAGCAGCAGAGTTGCAGAGGCTTTGAACCACCTGGGCCGATGGAATGCGCCGGCTCAGCACTCTCGTTGAAGATCTCGAATATTTGAGCGAACTCGTGAAACGAAACGCCATGTGGGAGGTTTCTGAGATGGATGTGTGTTTCACAGACTTTTTCCACGTAAGTCAGTGGACCGTTGCGGTCAAGAAGTGAACTTGGCGCAAAAACCTTTTTGGCCGGCTATTCACGAAAGCTTTCCTGAGGGCGGTGCATCTTTGGAACTGGAGCATTTTTGCAAGCTAGGTATAGTATAGTGTTTTGATGACTTTTATTCCCTGAAGATTGGGTCTATACAAAACCACCCCGGGTGATGATTGAGGAAGAGCACTGGCCCGATGTTTAGAAGGGACTTTTAGATCGAGGGGTGCGTGAAGTTTTTCCTATTGAGAGTCTTTGCAGAGTGGCTGGGCTTCCTCTCCTTAATGGTATGTCCTCAGTAGGCAAAGGTCAATTTAAGGGCGGTATAGAAACGAACCGTTTGGTCTGATTATGAACCTCGAAGCAGGATGCGTTCAGGTTTCCGCCGTATCAGTACAAGGATGCCCTGGAATCGAAAAGGCGAGAGGCGGCGCCCGCATAGTGAGCGCGAGGTTATCATGGGTTTTCCTCACGACTACACCAGGCATTGTGTGGTGAAGGCAGAACAGAAAGGGCTTTGAGGATTCCAGGCTCACGTTGCTGGGCAACTGCTGGCGTGTGGGAGTGATTTAGCTTATTCGGCAATTGGGCGTGCAATTGGGACTGGTCCGACTTGTGTTCTTCAGGAGCTAGTTGATTCTTTTTCCCCCGGCCGCAGTTCTACCGTCTTTCAGGCGTTGACTCGTCCTCCGCTCCATGCAAGGCTGGAGGCTTGTGATGAGGCTGATCAGCAGGCGTTCGTCAAGAAGTTTTTGGGTGTCCAGCACAGATGGATCCAGCCCCACGGTATAGTTCCGAGTCGTTTGTGGACATGGAAAGAGATCAGTGGTTGGAGATGGAGACAATCGGGAGATTATATAAATTTCCTTGAATTGCGGGCGATTCTGACGACAGTCAAGTGGAAGGTTCAGATATACAGTTGCAAAATCGACTCCGCGTTCGTTTCCTGCGTTTGACAGACAGCCTAGTATGCTTGCACGCCCTCACCGGAAACTTCGTTCGACTTTGATGAGGATGAACTCCTATCTTCTTGCGGCGGGCCTTCGTCCCCTTGAAGATATGTACACACTTCCCGATTCCCAGAACCCCGCCGACCGTCCGAGTCGGCGACCCTTGCGCAGGAAATGGGGAAGGTAAAGGGAAGGATACTTGAAGGCCAAAGCAAGGAGAAAAGGAAAGAAGAAAGGCAGAAGCTAGGCAGTCTTAAATTGTTTGCGGCGGCGTCCAAAACTAGGGTTAGGTACGAGAAGGCCCGCGAGATTCTTGCAACGCAATGGTCTCCGTCGTCTCCGTCTTCCACAAGAAAGAGAACTTCTGGACGGTCTGCTTGCAGGGTATTTTGAACCTTTAGGGTCTGATGGCGAAGGCAGAGCACTGGCTTCAGACACTATTGCAGTCCTCTTGGAGGTTGTTGAAAACTTGGTGCGTAAATGAAATCCCAAATCGAGCACCCCCACTTCCTGAATCTGCTGTTCTAGCGATGACTGGACGGGCGTTTTTTTCACAAACATTCTTCTTCTGGCATCTCTCTGCTCGTGGCTTTTTTACGACATGTTGTGAACAGGTGAGGTACTGACCTTAAAGAGTTCTGACGTCTCCATGACGTCCATTCGTTCTTCTGCTGTGGTTTCGTTGGGTATGACAAAAGGAGGACAAAGACATATCGCTGAAAGCTGTATACCCCCCCAGCTGGTGTTGAAGTGGGTTTGGCACTGGAGGCAGCGCAATATGTAGTCCTCATGCCAAGTTGTGTTCTAGTTCGTCGCTCCTTGCCAAATGTTTAACTTCATTGAAACCTCGACTCATTCCAGTTCCGTCCGTACTCTCTCTGAAGGGGAGGAGCCACGCGGTGGTTCTCCCGTCATGGTTCTTTGGATAAATTGCTCGTCGCCGGTCGTTGGCAAGCTGCTAAGACGGGCCGACTGTACATCAACGAGGGATTGGCAGTCTTGGCTGTTTTGAAATTGCCGCAGAAAGATGTTGCGCCTTTTTCCCCAAAAAGAACATTCTTTGCAACCGGAGATGCACTTGAGCTTGCCGGGATGCAAGTAAAAGGGGGACGTGGATAGAGCTGGAGTGAGACTCTCTTTTTCCGCATTTTGCTATCTATTTGTCGTCCGAGCATGGTGCCTACGGTTTGGCGGTGGCGCCGCAAAATAAAAAGATGTACCTTTTCTTTCCGGCTTGGCGGGAAGAACTGCGCACGGCGCCTTAAACTGTAAGGTTCTCCTGTGGGGACCTGAATCCGAGAGAGATAACACTAATCTATGTCTATTTACTATTTTTGACTCGCCTGCGGAGCGCATCGGGAAAGAAGGCCGACGAGTTGATAGATATATATATATATACATATATGTATGTATGTATATATGCAAATGCTGAGCATGCTTTTCAGTAGTTGACAAAGACTTTTGCAGTTTGTCCACGGCCCGAGAGAAACGCTTGCGCAAAGGTGAAGGGGGCGTCAGTTCTCCAAACTATACGGTCCAATTCAACCAAAGGCTGTTGTATCAGAATATGGTTTGTTTCGGTTTGAGGCCAAAGTGTTTCACCAGGCGCTACTTCATGGCTGAGACGTAAGCCATAGAGCATCCTAGACTCACTCAGCCCAGACCAGGATGTGCGTTCCAGTGTTGACTGAAGGCCAGATGTGCAACAAAGCATTGCGCAGCAGATCAGGGAGGTCTATTGGTACTGTTGGGATTTGCTTGTGAAACTGCTGCGTTTGCAATTGCTCTGGCAGGATTCGGCTCTGGGTCCAAATCGTGATCAGCGTGGCTGTTTGCAAGCTGCTGGGTTTGTTTGGTGCGAAGGATAGAGATGCGAAGATTCTGAAGACACAATGACAAGATATGAAAATAGTAAGGGCGATGTTTCTTTGAATAACTTCCTTTCTTTAAAGTCCTGCAACGCACAAATTGTTGTTTCGCTGTTGGCTCCAGGAATTGGGAAGTGCATCAGGCCTTGGAAGGCGCAAAGCATTTCCAGTTGTTTGCGCTGTTGCTTAAACACGTGTGGTTCTACCTTGTGTTTGCGACCATGTAAAGCATCCAGGTTGTAAACGCGCGCTTGGACTCGAACTATCCAGAGCCCTTCCGCTTTTGCGGCGCGAAAACAAGCGGATCTGGTCAAGATTCAAGCTGGTAGCGGAGCCGGTGCAGGAGAGTAGAGTTGTTTTTCGGCGCCGGACTCTCACAGCGGCTCACAGATCCAGGGCATGTTGGTTGCTGATCCTACTAGGAGCGTGGCTGATTGCTTGACTCCAGATCAACTACCGACGGCGCAGCCCCGTTGATATACGTTCCTTAGTGGTTTTTCCTTAGACCTTGAAGCGCTTCGTATACATATATATATATATATATTGGGGGTGAGGTCAGGGATCAAGGCGTGGAGACCTCAACACCCAGGACATAATGTTGGCATATAATAACGGACGGTAGTAACGTCCCAAATATGCGCTTTTCTTCCTGGTAAACGGCCAGTATGTGCACACAGCGTTGCTGCAGCCCTTGACATGATCTGCACCTGTCGGCCCAATCCGGCCAACACAAGTTCACCACGCATGGTATCACTGGTCACCATACGGTTAGTGCAGCTGCAGGCTCCGACACTCGTCAAAGGTACCAGCCGTTTACGTATGCAGACAAAAAACGGTTACGATAACTTGCCCGGGCCCGTTGGAGAAGTAGAATTTGATCTACTGGAGAGAGTCATCTGAAATCTGCTGTGACGTTTTCAGACTCTAAGTTCAAGACAGTTGCCTGACCAGCCAAGTTCCGCCCTGTCGGCTAGAGCTATATGAACAGACTCAGAAAGCTTTCCCGGACTGCTAAAGCTTGAGTGGCCGATTGAATGCAGAAGGTGGCGCGGTTCAAATGAAGCTCAACGTTCTCATCCATCAGGACACTGAGATGACTCAAGGGAATCGTGACCTGAGAGCAGGAAATTGTGAAGTCGACCTCAGTTGTGCAATACCTTGGGCAATAGAGTTGCAAGACTGGGTCTGTACATATGAACTGCGCATCACACGTAGATAACGGTGGTTGACTCTACCCTGCGTTTCCGACAGTGTAAAGCAGCCAGTTGTGAACGCGCGCTTGGGCTTGGTTCAAAAACACATGCCTTGATCTTTCGCGGTACGAAAACGGATGGGTCCGGTCGAGGTTCGATCATTTTTTCATGCTGGGTACATCTAGGTATTGCAATTAGCTGTAGCTACCTTGTTCACTCTTGAAATACACTTTGCTACAGCATTTGCAAGGCGCTTGCACGTCACATGAACCATAAGACATTCTTCTTCGAGGAGTCGTGCCCTGGTGGAACCGAATTCTGCCGCAACTATTGCTTGCTGCGAACTTAGTACATTGCACGTTCCTTGCACAATGGCTCCTGTGACCATGTGTGCTCACAGTACTTGAACAAGTTTCTTGCTCTACTCATGCGCTTTTGAAACTTCAAGCTGTACTGCAGGACCTCGAAAAAACAGAACCCAAACAAGTTGAGGACTGTGCACAGTACTTGGCTCAGATGGAGGCTTGACTGGCGGCTTAATGCGCTAAGAAGGGCAGGGCGAAGTATGGTTCATGATATATGCGGCTGCTTCAGCCCCCAAAGACCTTGATTTGGTAGCTAGTAGACAAAGTATGGAAAAACTGCTGCTACTTAGGCATTCGTTGTGGCTGTCATGGGTTGGAAGACATACGCTCAGCTCAGTTTTGCACATTGTCCAAGTTCAGTTTGTCAGATAGGCTGCGTTTGCCGTACAACAAATTCAAGAATTTTTGTCGCCAAACCCAAGGATTTGAAGATGATGACCTCAACCACACGAGGCAGCAAACTGTACCAGGTTAAAGTAGTTGCAAGGCAATTGACAAGAAGTTTGCTTGACTAATTGCACAAAAATTTGGCAGCCTGCCAACCTAAGGAGTGTCTTGATGCAAAGACGGAACAGAATATTGTTTCACACCCAATTTGCCGGTACATCGCTTATTTGTTTCACGGGAAAAGGAGTCAAGTGCTGCATATTCAACCTGGAAGTATTTGTGGTCACAAAAGACGATACCTCATCATTGCATGTTTACCTGAGCCGTTGACAATTCTATGGTTGGGTTGGCTTGGGTCGGCTTCTATCGGCTGTGCATAGATTTGGTCCGATGTTGAACTGAGATCACACCCTTGCTTGAAGCCTTGTGGTTTATTCAGAAAAAATAGGAGACTTTAAACGTGTGGTGCCCTGCAAGATTCAAGATCAATGGTTCAAAATTCAATAGATATATATATATATATGTATATATTTTTACATATATATACATACACACATAGTGTTCAATCCAAACACGTTTTTTCCAAACAGTACATCTCCGCATGTCTTTACAGACTTGACCAGCTTGATGCTAACGCTTCAAATTTCCATCAGTTTAACCTCAGAATAGCACATCCAAACACAAAGCGCGAGAAACCATGACAAAGACAAAGCCTGGCTCAAAGCCGAAGCGCAAGAAAGCGAGCAAAGGCAAGGTGCACAAGACCAAGACAAAAGTTGGACAAGGAACAGTGGGAAAGCGATCAACAACTGGGGAGCCTGAAGAGCCTGCACCATCAACGAAGAATGAGGGAACATTCCAGGTTGAATTCCAGTTTTTTGATCCTGAAGAGGAGGATTTTCATAGTGTTCGAGACCTACTGTGCAGCGGCACACTTGGCTTTGCTGAATTGGATTTTTCAGGTTTAGCCAACAGTATTGTGGACCAGGTCAATATTGGTACAATGGTAAAATCAGGCAATCCTGATGAAGCACGGTCGGGTGTTGACCAAGAGGACGAAGACGTGACACTTTGCGGCATGCTTACAATTCTAAATTTGCAGCAGTTCGCCAACACTACGTGGTGCAAGAGCCTTGCGACCCTGCTGGAAAGCAAGGCCAAATCGGAGAAGCAGCTACTTCAGTACACGCGTTGCTCTGGACAAGATCAAGTGGGTTTGATCCTTTCTGAGCGCTTTGTCAATTTGCCGCTGGAAGTCATACCGGCAATGCACAGTGCGATACTTGAAGATATTAAGTGGTCTTGCACCACAGAGTATTGCCCGCCAGAGGAGCCGGCGTTCAGAAGATAATTTAAGACAAAAAGACGGAGTACTTATTGACAGAAATCTTGTGTTTCATAATTAGGTTGCTTACAACCAATTGGACTTCTGGAAGCAAGCTGGCGAGGAGCGGCCATTTTACTTCTTCACACACTTTCTGTGCTTGGCTCGTTGTCAAGCTGTCACAGAAGACCAAGGCAGGTCTTGGGTTGTTCATGGCAGTTTCAGCAGGATGCGCTGGCAAAAAATTAGACAGTGTCAAAGGATTGCAAAAGATGCTAGCAGTGGCCAGCGGGGGCTTATTTGCTGCGGAGGCCCATTGCAGTCACTTCAGCTTAAGAATGGTACCCTACTCCAATTCTCACGAGCCGAGGAGCCGCGTTCTGACATGATTCACATAATAAATTGAATAAACACATTGAAGCTCATTAAGTTACCTCTCTCTTCAAAGGGCATTTGAATGAAGAACTAACTGATTCGATCACACAAAGGCCTGAAGGGGTTGCTGACAAGGAGCTGGTGCTTGCCCGTGCAGCGTCCTTTGTCTCCAGCTTCCCGCAACAATCCAAAGATGGCCGCAAGGCATCGCATCTTGGGTAAAAATCACTACCAGTTTGTGTTCTATTGTTGCGTCTTTTGAGAAGCAAAAGATATACATATAATATATATATATATATCCAAATCTTCTTTAAGCGAGTCAACTTTTGCTGCACCCCCCTCCTCCATGTTGCAAGCACTCGCCCACCATACTGTACCAGATGGTTTTGGACAAGCCATGGATGTAAGAGTCGGCATCAAGGTCCTTGTTCAATGGAAATCAACCTTGTTGGCGTGGGACGCCTGAAAGGACCCAAGTGCAAACCAAATGTCCTTTGATTGTCAAGCCCACACTACAATGAAGGTCTTGCTTGTTGCTGGCCGTTGCAGAAAATGACATTACTATTTCTTTATAGATATTTCTATATACATGTATTGTCCTGATGTTGGCTTGCCGGTTGACATTCTGTCAAGCTCTAGGTTTATCCGACATGTAAGTGCTGAAAGACTTGTGAACTCCACGTGTGGCTCAAGATGTAAGATGTTTGTAGCGGGAAGAAGCAGTCCTCGGGACTGCGCAATGGTTGGTGTTGAGCGCAATGTCCACGCAGGGGTCAGTGAAGGTTGGATGCTAGATTAATGATATATCTTGGATGCCCAATACATGGTGCCGAAAAAGGTAAAAGGTTGTGCCGATTCAAAGAAGATGGATCGGGTGTGAGCGGAATATGCTTCTTATCCCCTTTGCCACTTTGGTCTAGCTCCACTGAAGCTGTGGGGAGTGTGCGGAACAAAAAAGTCAAGAGGGCAAGCTCTTATTCCCACACCATGATTGTGTGCAGATGTGACTTGTGCAGCATGTTCTTCGACGACAAGGCTTGAACGAAGGGACGAAGGGACTAACAAAGCTCCGCGTAGCAACATAAATCATGAAGTGTGTGAAATACCAGCCTCCCAATTCCGTGTAATACAAGCTACGCAAACGTCAAGAATCATCTTAAAACCTTGCAAGCCCAGAATTTCACAGCCATCCCGCATTCTCATGGGTACTCATGCACACCCATGCACGGCAGGCATGTGCAGCGAAAACACTCCTTATCAGATAAGAAACAGGAAAGCGACTTACCAGACGAGGTCTTGCTTGGTTTGCTCTTAGTAAGGGGGAAGCGTTGCGCCGTCCTGGAACCTTTGTGGTGCAAATCAACCCATTCAAGCCCTACAAACAAAGGCCAAGCTAATTGCAAGGCAGTCTAACAAGACCTGCGTAAAAGTGGGAAGCCAATCTGCCAAACTGCTCGAGGCAAAAGAATGCCTGTGAGAAACCGCTGATCTGGAAATAGATTTGGCGTGATCTGACACACACAGACACATACGGACTTTTGCTGTTTGAGCGCACCCATCCATCTCCCTTGAGGAAAAAGAGAAGAGAGAGGCAATCTCTGCAATGAATGTCCCCTTCATCACGGAGATGAGACATGACTCAGTACCGCAATGTACAAGCACGCTCACAAGGAATGGCATGTCTAATCCACGTGGGTGAAACTGAAGCAACCCCATCCGGCGGCTTCTTTCGCAGAACAGCCGAACGAACTCTAGCATTCATCTCATGACATTATGAAAGCAAAAGTTCACGTCAGGATCCTATTTGTAGAAAACACTCTGTTGTTCATCCAAAATCGTGCAGCAGCTCAAGAGGAAGTTTTATATGGCGGGGCCCCAGAACGAAATTCTTGATACATTTTCACTGCCGGAATAGCAGCATGTGCGGCAGTGAAGGATGATGTGAAAAGCGGCCTATGTAGGTGTGGCCAAAGCTGATCTCTCGAAGTCTTTGTATGTGGGCAAGATGTCCACTTTCATAAACACCATAAAGCTTTGCAAGAATCGACTGATCGTCCGCAGCGCATGAGACTGTTGTTGCAACCAGGAACAATTTGCACCTAACTGCTTCTGTAAGCAGTTGGTAAAGAGGCGGTTCCATCTAAAGCAATCACCCACAGTGGTAGGTACCTCCCAAAGTTTAAAATGAAGCTCTCGGTCAAATCGAACCGCGTAATGCCAAGATCCCGTTGAGGCACTTGTACTGGTACCGGCTGAATGGCTTCATCCGGCCATGCTAACTTGCTGCTTGCTGCCTGCTGCTGCTGCTGCTGCTGCTGCTGCTGCTGGTGCTGTTGCTGTTGCTGTTGCTGTTGCTGCTGCTTTGGGGTAAGTTTACCCCTAGATTTGCCGATCACGCATCTTCGTGCCGGCCAACGAGTGCACCCGGGTTGTTCCAATGTACCCTTCCCAGTCGGCGATGCCACATTTACATTGTTTAGCACAAAGTATGTACATAGCAACCTTTCTCCCAAAACATGTAAACACTACATGCTTTGCCGACTATGTAAATAGTACATCCGGTGCGATTGGGCTAGCTTTCAAACTCCTCCCCTGGCCTCAAGCCATGCTAACTGTGTGAAAAAAGTAGTACCGAACAGCATGTGCTGATTTACTGCTCCACATACACTATTGAGCAACAGCCTCCATGCACGCCTATACGGTCCGGTGAACTGACATGGTCTGACGAATGAATGCTCGGGCTAGTGGCAATTTTTTCACCTACAAAATTAGATTTACGCGCCCGAAACATGTTGGCCATGCAATCTAGATCGAAAGATACACGGCTGTAAGTGGTTGAAGGTTTGGTTTAGGGTCCTATTTGTTCAACAGCCAAGGAGCTTTGGCAAGAAGCGGAAGGTGGAAGGCGCAAAAACGTTTGGACGTGTTTTGAAAATGTGTTCTTCAAAGTTTTGCACCGCGCAGACTTGCCTTCATTGCCAGGCGATGTCAAGGGTCAGGCTGGGCGACAAAAAACACTTCTTGTTCTAAGTGCAAATAACCAAGAAACGTGAGCAAAACATGTGTCAGGAAACAGCTTTGCTTTGAGGAACATGTTGCGGTACTGGTGCTGACTCGGAAGGCCACGAAATCGAAATACCCACTCAATACCCAGATGCATTCAGTCCTCTCAGCTTGTGGCCTCAGGCTTATGAAGGAGCCGTCAAGAACATGCGTGAGGCCCTAAAAGAGGCTTGATGAACTGCTTTGGCATCAAAAGATCGGCGGGCGTCATGATTCATCATGCAGCTGGCGATGTTTGAACTGGAGGTCTAGTCAAAACCAGACTGGACTTGGCTGTGGTTGCTTGCGTCAAGATCTGAAAGTGTCCTCATGTCATGACATGATATTGGGAGATGTTGGACTTGCCACTAGTGGACATGCTTGCATTCAGTTAGGTGCAACCATTGCCAGCATAGACAGCACAAGTTGGGCCATGGTTTGAATAGCTGTGTTATATATACACAGTATATAAATATAGAAAAAGTAGAGAGAGAGAGAGTCA